CAGCGTTCAGCCTTCCCAAATCACAGAGCTCCCTTCCATGGCAGGCTGCCTGGGTCTGAAAAAAACCCGGGAGAGAAAGTAACTGTGTTTGGCTCACCAGTGTCAGAACCACAACTCTGCCTCAGCCCAGGACCGAGGGCGGCTGGGGGAGGCTGGAAGAACTGCCCCAGGATGCCAAACACAACGCAGAGACCACAGTCCAGGAGCCTTTCCTTTTAAATATTTGAAGTCTCCAAAGCAGTGTTCCTACGGGAGCTATCATCCTCATACCTGGCTGTCAGAGCTTTTGGTTTTGAATCGGTATACAGAATGGGTGTATTTCTTTATTCTGTTTCTCAAAGGCCTTAGCTTTCAAACCTTTTTGTAGCAATCAGACACTTCAAACATCTCTACAAGTGTGCAATCGATAGTCAGTATTTCCCGTGATTAGTAAAATAGGAATAAGATTGTAATACATGAGATAATATCCCCAGCTGAGCTGAGAATAAAAGAAAATATTAAAACACTATTGGCTGGAAGCAGAGCAGGGTAGACACAGAGAAGAACACAGAAGTCCTTACAGGTGAACTGTCCTTACTGAGAAACCACAGCAAGAGAGGAAACATTCACCCCCGAAATGTGCATACTACAGGCTGTGGTGTGTTTTTATGTTATTAAGTTTGAGTACTCCTTAAGTGATTTTTTGTTTTTTATGTGAAAAGAAAATAAAGAGAGGAATTTTGGAAGTTTAAGATATCACACGTATAACGATCTTCAAACAATTGGCTTTAGGCTCGCTCCCCCACGCGGCAAAAATGGGTTCAGGATATTTCTTCTTTTTTTTTTTTTTTCCCCTCTAAATTTTGTACACATATTAGAAATTCAGAACCTGTCTGCAGAGAAAACTACTGACTGGTACTCTGGAAAAATTATAGCTCAAGACAAGAACGTGAACGCTGAGCATGTGAGAGGGGAAGATATTTTTAGGTGCCCAAATCGCTTCTGTTCACTAATCCCAAGAGTCTGATGGAAACACGAGGAAAAAAAAATTAGTATCACGATCATTCATTTTAAATGTGGACAGGAAGTTTTCCAAAGATGGGAGGAAGAAAATACACAATACCTACACTTGACATTTTTGATCTTTCCAAAGCTCACAAAGAGCCAAAAATAGCTCCCTCCTTTCCCTCATCCAACGTACAATCGTACATGTTTTAAGAGTCACACATCATAAAGCAAGGAAAAAAGACCAACTTTGTTTGCATTTAAGCTGTTAAGCCATCAGTGAGACTTTTTTTGCGGTTACTGCTTGAGAAATACCCCCGTTGAGCAATCCTCCGTAGAAATATTCCTATTCAGAAAGCAAACAGAGCAGTGCAAATCTGATATCGGCTCCTGCTAGCAGTTTGCTTACCCTTCTTTTACCCTTCTTAATCATGACCCAAAATATTTTAAATTCTTAGGGGCGAGGAAGCTGACAGAAGTTAGAAGTCTTGTCCACAGTCATATAACAGATCAGTGGCAGAGGGAGGAACGTGACAAGGACAGTAACTAAATAAATACATATGCTCTAGCATTTAACTGGCTTTTTGCCATTTAGTGAAAAGATACCCTTAAACTACTTGAAATAACACATGGCTTACTGAGAGCAAAAGTAAGCTCTGCAGAGAGGGATCTAGTGAACTCATCTAGTCCATGCAATTTGCACGTTTTCACAGCAGTAATTACTGATACTAAAAAATAATTAAAAAAATAAGCGTAGCGGACTTTATGGAAAGAGTCTAGGGCATTTAACAGTGAGGAGAATGAAGGAATACCCTGGAAACATAGAAAGAGAATTTAGAGGTACTAAAACAAGCCCAGTTGGAGGAAATGGAAGAAGAAAGAACATCCCTCTCTACATATCTCAGTGGTTATGTAACAACTGCTGGTGAAGCTCTATAAATAGGACATCTAACAGGTGTCAGATGGGAAGAGAACTCCACCAATCTACGCAAATGAGATTTACCCTCAGTTAGTTTTTCAGCAAGGCTGACAGCTAACGCACAGGTTTGTTGCGACTAGCCTTAAATGCTAACGCTGAGCTGAGCTGAATGGGGCCAGTTCATCCCCGCGGCAGCAGCGCCTGCCCCTCCAGAGGTGTCAGCAGGCAAAAGTCCACATTCGGAGGTAACCTTTAGCACTTGCACGCAACAGCAAAAAACAGGATCACTAGGATCGTGCCAGGAGGATGTGCTACTCCATTTGCTCAAGACAACGATCAAAATTCAGGAATAGGAAAAGATAGCATGCCCTTGTATTACAAAAAAGCCCTTATCAAAGGAAGAAGGAAACGTTTTTGAGAATTCACCCAGAAGGAGAACGTAAAGAAGCTCTTTAGCAAATTCACATCAATCTCAAACAAGGCAGGAGGGCATCCTTGCTGTTCCTATGCAGACTCAGATCATGACAGCTTTCACGGGGATGGAAACGCCTGTTCCGAGCCACTTGGTGTTCAAAACGAGGGAAACCCCCGCTCCTACCCTGGAGGCGACCACCCCATCTAGGGAGAATACCTCAGCCTCCTCCCCATAATATCCTGAGAAGTTTGGGATGGGGGCAACCTGCTCATCCTGAGATCGTGGAGCAGTACCCCAGGCCCCCCAATACACCAAGGCTGCTAGGACAGAGCAGGAACCACCACCCTGAGGTTGTAGGATGAGACTGACTCCCCATCTCAGGGAGCTCAGAGAGCCAGGACCCCCGTACGCTGAGACTGTTGAGAAGGGGGTAACCACCCCATCCCAGGACTGTGGGGTGCCCCAGGCCCCCTGGACAGCAGGGCATCCCAGGCTCCCAACCCCCTGGAAGGGTTTGCATGGGGGCACCTCTCCATCCCAGGACCTTGGGGTATCCCAGGCTGCTGGGATGGGGGTGACCCACCCCCACCAGCGCTGTGGGGTGCCCCAGGCCCCCTGGCACCCCAGAGCCGTTGTGATGGGGATGATTTTCATCCTGGGACCATACCCTACCCTGGGGCCATTGGGATGGGAGTGACTTCTATTCAGCAACCCTGAGATGTCCAGGACCGCAGTCTCCCGGCGCTGTAGGGAAGGGAGTGACCCCCACCCTAGGAGTGTAGAGTACCCCACCCTGCTACGATGGTGGTGCCCTACCCCCCCCCAAGACCATATTGTAACCCAGGCCCCCCAGCACCCTAGGGCCATTGTGATGCGAGCGACTCCCATCCCAGGACCACAGAGTGCCCCAGGCTGCTTGGATAGTGCTGCCCCCCCCCCCAGACTGTGG